ATATATATTACTTATATATATATTACGCACATTAATTTAACAGCAATAAACAACCTGAAACTATAAATTACCGCCCGTCATCAAGTTCCTGATTCTATCCTATAAGTTCAACTGATTTAAAGTCACTCAAGGAAGTGTCAACTCAAGCAAGCAGGGAAATCTTGTCTTTACACTATACACGGCGAGGCGGGGCATAACGAAGATTTCTGTTGACGATAAGGATCAACCCACATTGGAGGGCCCCAGTGGAGTTCGCTCCTGTGTGTGTTTGTGTGTGTGTGTGTGTCGTTCTATTAACATACCCCTCAGAAGAAATCAGCGTCACTCTACCCCTCACTGTTAAGTCACACACACTATTACCATTGTCATAATCTTGGCTAGAATCGACTTGATCCTATCGAAACATTGGAAAAGGTAAACAGTTTTTGCAGGTCACATCTTTGGATCGCGTTTTGCGTGATCAAACAAAAAGTCGAACGAATTCAATTAGATGAAGTAAAAAAAAAAGTACGATAGCAAAAACAACAACAATAACGTTGCTATTTGCAATGCTGAGCTGCTAATGTCGATGAAGTGTTTCCCTATTGTAGATAGTTCAAACTTTGCTCGCTGATTTGACTCACTCAAGACAAACAGTAGAGAAAAATCAGCCGAATGAATAACTAACGAGTAAATGGACAGCCATAAGCACAGAGTGCTATAATACATCACATTTTACGATACGATAACACCAATACGAAAGCGACGGTGCGCACTCATATTATTCAGCAACTGGCCAAAGCTACGATATTGTCGAAGTTGAAATAGGTTATACTAAATTTTGTCATTAGAGGAAAAACAATCACGGCTGGCTGTGCTGGAGGGATGGCTTTAGTGGGTTGACAAATAAAAGCAAAAATGAAACTGCGTTCTGTTTGAGATAGATAGCTGATAGTTCACTTTATCTTTACAGAAGGTATTCCGAGCATGAGTTTGTTTATTTTCACTTCAAAATGCATCACAATTTACTATCTCTTAAATATATATTGTCGCCTGGGTGGAAGTTTGGATTGTCTACAGGCTAAAGTCGGGGATTGAGCTAGTGACGAACGGTTGCTAGCCTTCCAACCAGCATTAGTATCACGAGACCGAGTACTGATAACTCGGGTTATCATGAATAGATAACAAAGGAAGAAGTTTCAGATTTACACTCAGAAATTGATCGACCTTCAGCATCTGTTGCTTAGGCTATACCGTTAAAGAGGACAGGTCTGGGAACTTGTCCTAGGTAAGGAATAAGTCATGCTAAGAAAAAAGCGATTGGTGTTGAGATAGAGTTGGATGAATGAAGTGTAATCGTACCTGTCTGTAACGTTATTATCTTCCTAAAGAAATCAATTGAGTTGTACTCCACTGTGAATATCTGCTCTGAATTATTCGTCAATGAAAAAATGGCTGCGTAGTGTCATTCCCCTCTAATTTATAAAATTAAATTAATAGATCCACGCTGGTCAATTACTTGTGCTAGCGAACTACATTTTACCTCTTAAGATTTTCGATAACTGTAAAAGTTCACATTAAAACTCCAGCTAAGCCGTATTTCACTGTATTGAAGACCATCTGCTTGTTCACAAAACTAGTTTTAACTTCAAGGGCAAACAGCCTGGGCTTTTTCCTTTGAAAAGTTTAGTTGCCCTAGTCATCTTCTAGACAGTACACGTGCGACAAAGTGCGGCGCGTTATTCAAATAAATTAGGAGTGTTATAGATTTTGTGATATAAAAATACACTGCACACATTAAAATTTTGTGTACGCTTGATCAGATCTTGAAAAGCTGTTGAGATAAGAAAATATTGTTATCGCATCACAGCAAAGCATTACAATGATGATATATCTCTTCAGTACCTCCGTTTGTATTTCGTACGGCTGACATGTTTTAAGGAGCAGGACGTAGCCGATATTTGGTTGTATGGAAACGATTAAGAAGAATACGGCTCACAATTGCTAATGACAGCGGCCAAGCAGAAAATAGAAGACACGCGCCGTACGATACTGCGCCGTAACACACATATAGGGGTATATACATTATGTATGTCGCACTTGAGTTTGATTAACATATTCAACACAAGACATAATAGGTTAAGGTTAAGCAAGAAGACATTTTATTATTACTACTATTATTGTACAGTTCATGCGCTCAGACTTACCTGTACCCACAGCCTGGCCCAGTCCTGGAAACCCAACTCGTCCAGATTACTGCAGACGTCATCGTCAGCACCCGTCGCGCAAACCTCATACGATTTGCTTCGAAGTTCCTACATGACAAAGGCAACACAATCCATAGGAAAACACACGATAAACGTTTGAATTTCGCTTTTTAACACAAATGTACCCCATAGATTGAGCGAACTTCGAGATGATGCAATCCTGTCTACTTTTCGAATCGAAATTTCTGGTCGTATACGGTGAAGCGGCAAATTCAAAAATCTGCGACAAAGTTTTAAGATCATGCTCCCTGCATTTTTTTCATCGTTTTATTGGGATACATAATTTATTGCATTTAATAACATTAGAGATATGTTTTTATGGAATAGGCCAACAAAAGCAACTAAACAAAGCACTGAACAAATTCACTAAGTACCGACTTTGCGTTTGTGAGTCGTCATCGGTCGGCGGAGAAGTTATCGATAATTACGCTACCGATAACTTCTCCTACGACTAGTTTAAAACATGTAAGGAACATTTGATTCCGTTAATTCTTGGCTTGAAGCCTTTCCAGGATGTCCTGTGCTGTATTAGTAACAGGATGCCAGCACAAAGGTGTGGGCATTAAGTGCAGCTTTTATATATTGGGCTTAATCACAAAGCTAACAACCAAATAGGAATTTTAGCGTAATATGACGGAAAGTAATGGCACTGTCTATACGTACATGGCGAAAGTGATAAATAGATTTTTATAAAATATATATAAGTATAAAAATAATAAAATTACATACATATATATATATATATATATAAAACTAAAAATAAAAAATAAATATAAAAGTTTATAAAGTTAATACTAGAATGACTTGGAAATTATTGATGTTTCAACGAACTTTGGTTCCTTTGGAAACTTCCCGGAGGAAGGTGGTAAGTTCAAGCCACTCGGCGACGAAGGCGCGACACACGGCTCGATAATGAGGGTCCGCCTGGTTGCCCAATGACATATGTGCACTACACATCTGAAATTTGGAAAAATAATATGCAAGAAAAATAAACATGAAAATTAATTTATTAATTACGGGTGTCCTTTTATCAAATAATAAGTATTTTCTATAATAGAAAAGTAACTTTGGTTCGCTTACAGCTTTTCGTTTTTACAACAGGCTTTTTTTTACCCAGGATTTGAATGGTAACAAACGACTGCATGTACGACCAAGAGAAACTATTTGAATAGAAGATCGTTCAAACTACCGCTTTGTTAGCTGATTACAGAGGCTGTCAGCCGCTAGAATATCTAGACATACATTGAAAATATCTCTAAAACAATCTTTAGAGTTATAATATTAATTCGACCCACGTTTTTGACAGACTGCATTTTCATTTCCACCGAAACAATAGTGCATCCTACTAGGGCGGGGGGGGGGGGGAGTGCGAAGGCTGACAGGCACTCGGAAAAACATGCGTAAATACAGAAATGTTTTACGTTCCTCTGTGACAGAATCGAACCGGATAAATAACAGTTTAAATGCTCAGTCAACCAATGCGACTTATCACAACAGTGATTTGATGAACACAAAGTGACCTTGGATTTGACGGTCATATCCGCCGTTTGCGTTATGTCAAAAGCACATGTGCACATCTGGATAATATGTGCTAAAGGACAATATATCCGAAGCGTACTATTAGCATTATAGCTTTTTTTTTTTTTTTTATAATTATCAAAGGATCATGCTAACTTCCTGGAGTCGTTGTGGTGATTGGCTTCCTTTGTCAAAGACAAAGTCGAAAGTACATATTACTCTACCGGAGTTACATACGCTACGCGGTTAAAAAATTGCGAACGTCCATCATTTATCCTAACATTTTTTTTATATTTTTATAGTATTGATACAATTTTGCATATTCCCATCATCACCACCACCACCACCCTGATAACCATTAACGTCGTTATCGTAGCCTAAGTATCCTGCTCAACTATTGTTGGCACAGTGATAATTATTATTATCGTTAGTAACGGTAATAGGAAACTGTTGTTTCTATTACGGCTATGACTTCTTAACTGAAGCATTTTGGTTCTTCACCCAGCCTTCAGCCTTTTTCTTTCTGCTCGTTCTTTGCGACACTAATTTTAGCGATCTCAGCCAACCTCAGTTACTACTGAAGTTAGTCAGTATAATACTTGTAATCGCGTCACCCCTGCGTCAGACAAAGAATCAGCTGGCTATTTAGCCTGTTATTGTATTTATTATATAGTTCAGTGATTGAATAGGGGCAACGAATGCCGCGAACACTCTACAATACAACTACCCCATAAATTACTGCTGGTGCTACTATTACTACTTGTAGCCACTTGAGATACAGCAGCAGCGGTGTTGATAATGGCCGTGAAGGCAGAACAACTTGTGACAACAGCAGCATCAACCATCATGGATCAAAGGAAAATGTATGCTACTATTGAAAAGTTCCCCATTGACGCCTACTCACATAAGTCCTTTTGTAGGCCACCAACGATCTCTTGATCCCGGCCGTCGACCAATCGTCCCACAATCACTCTTCATCATCATTGTTATTCTTCATGGTTTTCTCTTTATACTGCTCGCAAAACAGTAGAAGCAGCAGTCGTTTCCGAATAACAACATTGAATGTATGAGAGCTACCGTCGCCACTGCGGTTGCTACTATTAATCTAACAGCACCGTACTTCGGCTGCTGTGATTGCTCTGAGAAGCTGGCAGCAGCAGCAGCAGCAGCAGCAGCAGCAACAGCAACAACAGCAGCAGCAGCAGCAGCAGCAGCAGCAGCAGCAACAGCAACAGCAACAACAGCAGCAGCAGCAGCAGCAGCAGCCGAAAGCTGTGTGCAAACGTGAAGCTCCGTCTGAATATCTTTTCTCCTATTTGGTACAACGCTAGATCGAGAACCAACGACTTACCACTTACATCCTGGTCCCCTTATAGTAGGTACGTAAGTATCATATGTTTGGCGATGGTTTTGGGACCATGAGGGACTTGGCCGACCTGGACTCTGCTCGTACGTCACCGTAACGCCAACTGTAGAGCTGGTTATTTCTAAGTACATTTGTTTCTTAGTTCAGCTTTGAGGGGCAACAATAGCAGTGAACGAAAATGTAGGGCAGTGTCCTGGGGCCAGCACTTGCCCATGAGCCCTTGGAATGAATAGAAGGTTCGTGATTTGCAATTAGCGTGAGGTAATCATACGCGTAGACACGATAATTCCCAGGAATTCTTTAACTGCAGCGGGTCAGCCAATAGTTCCACTAATGAACATCAGATTGTGAAAATAATAAAGAGAACAAGGCAAATCAATGAAAAGTCCCAATGCATCACATGTCATAGTGGCATTGATTTATAGTTCATGCGACGGAAACTGATATTACGTTTGAGTCTAAAAACGAATAACATAGGCTTCAGTGATCCGTATGCCTTTCAAATTACTACTCAAGTATCAAGTCCTGATATTTTTCTAAAACAAGGATATTTGCAGCTACACTTGACATACGAGATGTGTATATACCGTATCTATTTGTTGTCTACCATGAACCAGCTCATGCCCACCATCCGTCACCAGAAGGATCAGCCGTTATTGATAAACAGACCGGCAATCACTCTCCTATATTAGTAGCGCTAGTCGAACGATCGAACTTGTGAAACGTTTATTATTGAGCTATTCGTTGCTAAACTTCCATATGCTGGGGGGTGATAATTATGATGGCAGAAATACAATATAAGATCCCCACTGACCTGCTAAGTGTATGCGCTTAAACTGGCATCAATATCACTGTGAACGTTGTTCGCACAGAACAAACACTAAGTAACAGAATGCATTCCGTCTGAACTTTCGATTTTCAAATCGCTGAAAAAAGAAATGGTACGAACAATGTCTTTGCAGTGTACGTATTATTGTGTGTATGCTTTACATCGTTGAGTTATTTCTAATATTAGATCGCTCAACAGAACGCCAAACAGGCGGAATACAAGGTCGCCCCTACCAATGCTGACGGCGTATCAATGAAATCGTACCCGCCTATCTCATAGTGCTGTTCAGATTTCAATGGATTTAACGGGCGACAAGATGCTTGACGCCGCCAGCTCATTACGCATTGCCACTGATGCTGATCAGCGGCGGTTATCAGGGAACAGGGAAGCCACAGACCGCACTTGCCGACACAGCGGCCGGCAGCCACGATCGTGGCAACAACAGTCACAGTCGCCAATGGCGGAGAGGAATTCCGTCCTCGTTTTGTAACAACAGCTATCGCTGTCACCAGCAAACCGATCCTCATTGGCAAAAGAGCCCTACCCTAGAGGGCGACGGAGGGCTGAGGGGCGAAATATTTGGCAAATGCGGGAGCGACGTGTCACATCAACAGGAATCTTTGTCGACGGCCGCCGATGTCAGCGGATTTGACGTAGACAGCGCGACGCTGATCGTCGCTGAATCGATGCTTCACCACCTATGAATAGGTGAAAACGGTGTTTATCTGGCACTCCATAGCTGACCCACTAACGGGCAATTAATCTGATGTTAATGAACATGTTTTTATTATTCTCTTATGTTCAACTCTTAAAAACAAATGGAAAAAACTGGCCGCTATATCCAGATGAGCATGCGCGCCAAAAAAGTACGCGCGCAGTGTACGAGCATACGCGTTGATAGCACGCATAAATCGACTGGCTAGACGAGGTGCTCGTTTTGAGCTGACCGTTTCGGAACGGAAAGCAACAGGGACGAAGTTAACATTCCTTTATCGCAGCGGAACTCTCTCATTAATACGGAAAATTTTCTTGACCACTAACTAATGTCCATTGCCCTTCAGTTTACGCAGGAAAGGCGGCTGTCTAAGATATAATCGTGCTGTCAGAATATATCGATAGACACCGAGGTATCTTATGTATGAATATGGCAAGAGAAAGATGTCTTTATGAATCGTCACGACGGTCATGAAACCGCCCGCATCACGGTGATGTTGATGATACGCAGTGATCTACGTATTAGATGAATGCTACTATGATGATCAGAATATAATATAAATGGATTGTTTCTATCTCTCAAAGAAGGAATTCTCTTTAAAGACACACACGTCTTCAGATCTCCTGTTTGGAAACTCGAACCAGGTTCAATGTGTTTAGATTAAACGGTAAGATTAGTATAAAAAAATGTTTGCTTTATTGACACATGCTTGGCGACACCGATAGAAACATTAGATAATACGGAGAATACTATAGGAAACCGACTGATAAATATTGAAACTAAACCTAGGATTTATCGTCCAGCTAAGTCCGCAGCTTCACAACTGTCATATTGGCCTTTCGGGTTACTTTAGGCTGCTTAAGGGCTCACCTAGAGGGACAGATGTTTCCTACGGCGAATAGCCAACTGTTGACAATGGCTGCATAAATAGATTAACGATAGCCACAATTAAGTGGCAGCAAAAATTTAGTTCGACTCTATTCTAAATAGTTGTTATGTATACGTGTGTGTAATTCTTAAAACGCTGTTACAAGGGTGTCAATGTCGTAATAGGTGCCACTCGAAGGCCATAATAGTAATAACAACCGCTATGCTCCGACCACACTAGCGCCGGCCCGACATGGGACCCACGGATGGGACCACGAAAGACACGCAGATCAAATAGTCACCATGCGTCAACACGCCACTAGTAACTTATATATACTAAGGTAACCATAACAACACGAACCCAGCGGAACTTCTGCCTGGCAGTAGCAGCGATAAGAGTACGAATAGTCGTAACGAGAGTAACAACAACGAGTGGATTTTTTCTATTTCCTATGATAGGAGTCACTAAAGTGCTGGTCGAATGCGATCTACTTTTTTCTAAAGTAGTTTTTTGTCCTTTGGCAAGCCACACATTATGCATATAAAGATAATAACAACAATACGACCATAATGGTAATCATCTATGACGGCCGGAGTGATCGTTGTGGCGGCACCTTCTCGTTCCGGGCCTTCTAATTTCGCTACAAGTTGTAAGACCTAAA